TTTTTTTTTCAGGTAATACTGTGCATGTTGATTGCGTATACTTTTGTTTCTTTGGCTGTCAACGCATACGTCTTTCTGTTCCGAAACCGAACCCTGTTCCTGTATATCGTCCACGCCCTACTACCTCTTGTGCTCGCAGCCTACCCACTAAGCACCGCGTCATGGGTCACCAAGCAATATCATTGGTTAGTATATCAAAGATGAGTCGCTGCACTTCAAGAAATGATCGGTTTCTATCTCCTCAATATATTATCGAGCAAATAGTAACGAGGATTGACAAAACAATCTGCTAGATGGAGAAAATCCATGGGGAAGAAATTATTGATTATTTGAGATGAAATTATTCGTAGAAGATAACTTTACGGCCATAATCATATTTTTTATATTTCTTTTTAGGCATCTGGTAGCAGTTGTGAAGGCGTGGGTCGAGTGTAGTGATTCTGACTCTGACTCAGAAGACGAACGGCCTCTGAGCATCACAAACGAGCATGGCACCAGTAGATTACCTTCTAACTACAGTGAATCGCAGGCTCCTACTCTTAGGATTCACATGCCTGATACGGGCCATGTGATTGTGAATTCAGCTTATGACAACATGGACAGACTTCAAAATGTACTTACTGGATCAGCACTATTCCTTGGCAAACTTCAGCACAGAAAAAAAAACCCAAAGTTTAATTTTGAAAAGTATATCTCATATCTTGATAAAGTTTCGAGGAATGTTGGCTTCTCGATCGGTGTGGTCCCGGTGACCTGGGAACTAGTGTCGACTTTGTTTTTCTTCCTCATCTCGCTGATTGCTCTGTTTGTACAGGAATCCATATTTGGAAAAGCGAAGAGCACGATAACGATTTGAAATTATTTGAATTTATCATTTGTGCCAGCAGAACTTTCTAGAAATGATAATATTTATCTTAATAACAATATTGATGATGACGACGATAACAATGATAATAATAATGAAGGAAAAATGACCAAAAAATAAGGAAAAAATAAAAATAAATTCATAAATATTTTCTTATTGTTTTAAGAAGGGCTGATGTACAAAAAAACTTCCCGGAATGAGGTCGAAAATTTTGTGCATGTCCTAGCTCAGCTAAGGCGGCCGTCTTTTGCATAAGAGCATTATGAAGTCGACAATAATTGAAAATTTTAGCAAATGAAACACCAAAGTTATTTTCTCATTCTTTTAGGAAAAGGAATATTCTAATTCAATGACCCAATAAAAAATCTGATTGTCCTCTCTGCCATTTTTTTATAATCTGTATTTATTCTCTTATTTTGACCACGAGATGTTCTGGTAAGTGAAGTGGCATGATTCCCCCTTCGTTAACAAATTGTCCAATCAAAAACGCTTTTTATTGTATCAGTCAACCAATCAGAGGGCGCCTTTTCTTGTGGCTCTTCTTGCACAGTAGATCCATATTCAATGACTTACTTGTTTCCCGCTGCAGCCGCTCTCTTGCCTCGATAATTTTCTGACTGAGGGAATCTTCGAGTTTCAAGTTTTAAAGTAACACGTTCAGTTGAGAGGTAACTTTATTTTCTGCACTTAAAAAGTTAGTTTAAAACTTCGTTTAGCGATTGGCGTTATGTATGACTTCATGTAACGGCGGACTTAAGTTCAAAAGTACCAAAGGCTAACTTTTGTTACGTTTTCAGACCGCCTTTATCGTCTATTTATGGCATGATTACCAAATAACAAAGGTCTGTGCTCAATTTAAAGTCTCGGGAGCGACGTAATTACAAGATTTAGACGAAAGAAATTTCGTTTCTAAGGTTTTTTTACCGCAAAAACTAAGACTACATACGAAGTTGGTTTCGGTTTAGTGATGGTCTGATATTCGAGAAGAATTCATCTCTGACGGATCTTTGATGGAATATTTGCGAGCTATTTAATGAAACACTTCATGGTGAAGAATGAAAGTCATGTTTCGAACACCAAAAGTACATCATCTTTTGAAAAAAGATGGAACGTCTTGCTTCCTGATTGCAACATTTATCATACAGAGTATTGCGTGACCCCGACATCCGGTAAAATTGCTCCAAAAACACGCTATTTTGGGTGGAATATTGCTTCTCTTTCTCAAAATGGTGTTTCTTTCTTAAATTTACCACCAGCAACAAGTTGAAAAATATGTTTCCTACTATCGATAACAAACTGGAGAGATTTTGTCGCGATTTAAGCACGGCATTTTCACACTTTCCTACGTGGGTTTGATACAATAAATTTTTAAAAGCGTGACCGGCCGCATCGAGGGAAAACTGAGCTTGTTCGACAGCACACGCTTGGAATAATAATTGTACTGTCAAATTTGAACACAGGAGCAAATTTTCCGCATTTTGATATATAATTCGTAAGGTTTGGCACTGATTACGGCAGGGGAAAATGACTTCGAAATTCTTCCATGTTGTTTTCTTTGTTGTGTTTGCGTGTTGCACGACGGTGACCACAGTAGGTGATCATTTTGGAGGTCAAAATGACGATTCAAACGCAAATTTCAGCCAGCAGAATAGACCTTCGTATACTTACGAGATCAACAAGTAAGTGCTCTTATAAAATATTTATTTTTATTTGTTATCGAGCGTTCAATCGTAAAAATTTCCGAAATACTGAATAATATTGCCCTTTTCTGTCTTTTCTTCTCACAGTTACTTAGTTCGCATCAGTTCGAAAGAAAACGAAAATGATGTTAAAGGAAACGAGCATTCGAGGATTCGTTGTTAATAGTCGAATTATCACTACAATCAGGAAAAAAAATTGGACGTTAAAAGGAAGATCGATTCTGCCAGAAAGGAGGGAGGTGCGTGCATGAGGAGGCTATGAAGTGACAAAAAGACTTAAAATTGAAGAAAAGCTGCAACAAGCCCTTGCCAGATCAGAAAAGTCCTGTGGGCATTACAAGAACTTAAGTGTATTATGGCTTGGCTAGCTAATTAGATATGCATAATATTAGAAAATGCAATTTAGTATGGTTCGGTTTAATCAAGACGCCTAAAACCTGCATTACTAGTATAGAAATATCGTCATTAGCAATAAGACATCAGGTCACGTGACCTCTAATAAGCAAATCTAAAATGAGGTAAGTAAAACAAAAAGCAACGTTCCTTTTTGTATTTTTCAAAGGCTTTCAAGGATTTTTTTTTGAAGTCTGCCTTTTAAGAATGTATAAGTGATATGCAAATCAGAAAATAAAAAAAATAAAGAGGTCACGTGACTATGGACTTGGTTAAATCCCTAACAGCAGAAGTAGAATTTTCAACCTTAAAAGGCGGGAGAATCATTTACGCAGTCTTTGTAGCATATGTCTCAAAAACACTCTGGGATTGAAGTTTGCAAATTTACCCCGTTTGAGGAAACGTGTTTTGTGACGTCACCGAAAAAGAAATGTCACATCACATTTGATATCATGAGGAACCTGTTTTTTCTTTGGAGAAAACTTTATAGATCACTTTGATGAATCGTTGCGAGCATCAAACCAATTAAAATAGCATTTTACAAATTATGTATATTTAATTGGGTAGCCAAACCGTAATACAGAAGAGATTTAAAACTTTGGTCAGGAAAGTTACTAAAATGAACAAGAAAAATTCAAAAGGAACGCAAAGAATAAACGTTTAGGTGAATACTCACAAAGGCACCAGGCTAGAATTAAAACACAACGCAAGAACAGTGCTATTGAACGCTTGCTTTCAGAGCTGGAAAATCATAATACCCAATTTTCAATTTTCATTGCATTGCAGACGTTAAACAACATGGTTGCCATTCAGTTTGATGGGAAATTGAGTGAAAATGACGAGATTTTTCAAGTTACACGCATAATTAATTGCGTATGGATTATCATGATTTCTGAGCTGAGACAAACACGAACTAAAATATCTCGAAGCAGATTAATCCAATGGAAACAAAATTTGGAGTGGAGGCTTAATTCCTTTGCGACAGTGGCAAATTCCTCTCAACTTGATCGCCTCAGCACCCCCTTAAATTCTATATATTCCACGAATTCCACAATCATCAGCACAATTCTGATATTATTATCGGAATCTATTAAGAATTCTGTGCAATCTCTAAAAATAACCAAGATCTCTTCATATGTAAAAATTTGTGACTGAATGAGTTTGAATCTTTAGACGAGCAATCGTGCGCGCAAAATGCTGTCCTCGCATATGTATCATTCACCACAACAAACGCGAAGTAAGAATTTACATTTTGTATTTTAGTTATTTGTTTATTTATCTAGCAGGAAATTTCGAGTTAGAGTTTATTCGTAAAAAAACATACAGTAACTCCTACTGATAGAGAGTAATTGCAGAGACTGGTTTCTAAAATCTCTGGAAATAAAAAGATTTTTTTAAATATTAAAGTGGAGAAAGTTTGCATTGTACTTTTTATCCTGATAGAGCGTCACAGGCCGTTAAAAGTCGGTAACTAATACTAAGACAAAACTATAGTGAATCGTAAGAAAATAAGATTAACGAAGCTGGAACTTTACTGAAACTTGGCTCAATTTGCTTGTTTTCCTATGGGAACAATAAAAATTACCTACCCTTTTTATAACATGTAACATTTTCAGACGTTCATCTACATAATAATACAGCAAGTACTATGTTATGAATACACGTTTTGTTTGCTCTTGCGACGGCTGTATGTTGCCATCTGTGGATTAAGATTTGTTTTCTCAAGAGGCTGAAATATTTTATAATATTTTGATGAAGCATTAATCTCCTTCCTGAAATGAATTACTGAACAAGCATTACCTTACAAATTTGTGTAAAATATTAGCGGAACACAATAGACATATTTCCATGTCACGGTTTGCAAAACGTAGCCCAGGCTCGCTGACCCTCTGTAAATATGCAAATGATTAGGGACCAGTATCGCCGTGCGATACCGGAAGAAAGGTGGTCGCATGAAGATGGCTGTCTCATAGTAGGTTGGAGCCATGGTTCCAGCACTTAAAGTTAACAGATATTAGAACACGACAAGAAAATATTTAGAACCTCTTGGAACACGACTGATTATAATTTTATCACTTATTGTTATGTAGGTAACTCTAAACCAGTTCAATTGAGATACATCCATTCTGTTTATGAACCCACCCATGGTCTGCACACATGGCTACCGCACCGGACCCAGACGAGGTGCTTCGTTCCACGGATGGAAAAGATAAATTCCAACGAATATCGCGTCTGCTAATCAGTGGAGGTACTACACTACTTAGGGAGGTGTTTGATCAGATTTGCCCACCAGTTCATCTTCCTTTAAAATTAAAAGATGCAACTACAAAGAAGCAGCTTAAAGCGGCAAAGCTCACAAAGCCACAGCGAAACTGCCTGTACCCCTCCCCGGGGACGTATGGTGAGTCAAAGATTTCGATATTACTCTACTCTTCGCTTTGCTAAAGACAATATGCAACCTCACCCCTCCAAGCACGGGTTGGGATATTCTACCAGCTCCCACCGATCACAGTTTAGTTGCAGAATTGGCAAGAATTAAGCATTACAGGAACGCGGTGTATGGCCATGTAAAGGGAAACATGGAGATTACAGATGACGAATTTCTACAGCTTTGGGAGAACGTTAGCCAGGCTCTGATAGGCGTCGCAGCAAACCTTGGCCCAACAAGCAAACGTAATGACTGGCAGACGAAAATTGACAAGTTATTGAAGGATCCCCTTACTGCTGAAGATGAAAGAAACGTACAGGAACTGCAAGAATGGTATAAAAAGGATAAAGACATCAAAAAATCCTTAGATCAATTGGTAGATACAACCCAAAAAGGGAAAGACAGTATAGAAAGAATGGAAAAAAACTTTGAGGAGATCAAAAAATGCTTGAGTGAATTGTATGAGCTTAGGCCAATTTCTTGCCCGAATTGTACTTGTACTGGTAAGTTTTTAAGATTCGTTATAATTTATCTCTTGGGTGTTTCTTTTTTCTTGAATTGGGACTACAGGAACTGAGAAGTCTTACGATTCCTCGACAGAAATATATGTAGAAAATAGATATAGATGTCCTACCAAGGGTGGTTGTTTAATAAATAATTTATTTTACAGTTTTTTTAATTATCGAAGAATATATCATGGGCTCTTTTTCAGTTTCATTATAACAATGTTTTTGTTTTTCACATGCTTCCAATTAACAGATGCAGCTATACTTCCGGTGAAGTTGAGTTGTGAGATCTACGCACACTCAGATCAACAAGGGGACCTTTGCGGAATGTCAGTAAATGGAGATGCCTCG